TCCCCGGCGCGGGACCCCGATCGCGGCCCTCCCGGCGCCGCCATGAGCCCGGGCCCTCGCCGCCGCCGCCTTCCTGCGAGCAAGCCGGCGGCTGCAGCCCGGCCCGGGGGCCCGCCGGCGGGAGCACGGCCCCGTGCCCGGGCGCCCCTGACCGGCTGCCCCCCCCCGCCCCGCAGAGGAGGAGGAGGTGGACAAGATGATGGAGCAGAAGATGCGCGAGGAGCAGGAGCGGCGCCGGAAGAAGGAGATGGAGGAGCGCATGTCCCTGGAGGAGACCAAGGAGCAGGTGCGCCGCGGGGGGGGGCCACGCGCCCGCGACCCCTCCTGGGGCGTCCGGGCGCCCCGCTGACCCCCCGTCCCGTCCCCGTCCCCGTCCGTCCTCAGATCCTGAAGCTGCAGGAGAAGCTGCAGGCCTTGCAGGAGGAGAAGCACCAGCTTTTCCTGCAGCTGAAGAAGGTGCTCCACGAGGAGGAGAAGCGGCGCCGCAAGGAGCAAAGGTGGGTGGGGGGCGGGCGGGGGGGGCAGGGCCCGCAGGCATGAGGGCTTGGGCGCAGCGGAGTGGGGGCGGGGGGCCGCGGAGGCCATGCTGGCCTCTGCCCGGCAGCAGAGAGCTGGGGTCATCCGGGGCAAAGGGTGGCCTTCGAGGGGAGAGAGCGGCCCTGTTGGAGCCAGCCCGAAGAGTCCAGCCTTGGGTCCGCGCAACGGGAAGTGCGCCTCGAGGATGCACGGGCGCCGGTGCCCTCCCACCCATGCTCCCCGGCGACTAGTGTACCTAGCTGCACCGTCTCTGACATGGAGGGGGATTCAAGGACGCTGGACGGGTGCCCATGGAGGCCCGGCTCCTGCAGGGGCCGGTCACCTCCTTAATGCTGCCCAAGGCAGGGGTCGCCGCTGCATCTCACAGCAGCAAATTCCAGATGGGCACACTCCCGTTTCAAGGAATCATTCCGTTCGGTGGTTTTACTCTCCCACTTTTCAGTTTCATGGGATGACCCCACTGGGTCTAGAGATCTAGAGAGAGAAGGTGCTCTCTCTCCCTCTCTTTCTCATTCTCTCTCTGCATACATTGCAAATTTTGTACACCTCTGTTCATCTCGCTCAGCCTCGCCTTTCATCTAGACTAAACGGTCCCAGATTTCATAACCTAATCGACACAGTCCATTGTTGGGATCCAGCCCCTGCTCACCCTGGTGGGCCCTTTCTGTGCCTTTCTAGCTCTGCATTGTTCTTTTTCACACGCACCCCTGGATTCTGCTCCCCGATTCTAGTAACTGGCATTGCCACGGATTGAGCAAGGGGCCTTCTGAGTGAGAAGCAGGGGCTTAGCGCTGAGCCACACCCCTTTCCCCATAGATTAGGCACGTTTAATCATCTGGAGGAGACTAGGAGCAATCAGGTACCGTAGTCCAGAGTAAAAGCGTATTTGCAAACTGCAGAAGGCAGCTGCCAACCATACCCAGGAGGCGAGTACTCTGGCCTTCCCGGGAGGAGAGGCCGACTCGGCTGGGGGCTTGTGTGCACACACAGAGCCCCTGCCCGGAACTATGTTCTGACACGCTTCTGACACGGTGGGTGCCAAGGCGGGGGGCAACGGGCCGATGTCCCCTCAGCGGGAGGGCCGCTGGCTGTCCGTGCCGCCCTTCTGCCTCTGACGGTCTCCCGGGGTCTCGCGTTCCTTCCTTGCTGTCCCCGCAGTGACATGACGACGCTGGCCGCCGCGGCTTACCAGCAAGGCATGGCTGTGCACGCTGGGTCCCACCTCCTCAACATGCAAGGTGGGTCTTTCAGCAGGGCGGTGCGCCGGGGGGGTGGCTGGCGGCTGGGCCGGGAGCCGGACGGGGGTGGCCGGTGTGCTCGGGTGCGGGAGAACAGCCTCCTTCCTGTGCAGGGAAAGGGACACCCGCACTCCCCTCCTTCCTCTTCTGTTCGCGGCCTCTCAGAGGGCAGCTGGTTTGCACGCGCTGCCGACCATGGCTTGTTAGGATGGGCCGTGGAGCGTGAGCAGCCCGTGAAGAGAAGCCATGGTCGGTCAGGTTATGAACTCTGGGCGGTGGAAGCCATGGGGTGTCCGTGCATGCACACGAAGAGCATGGGTCGCTCATGGCTCGTTCCACCACGCAGCGGAGGGGGCAGGCAAGAGTGAGCAGAGAAAACTGCCAGGGGACAAGCCAGCCCTCTGGGCGCCGCAGAGTCTGGTGGGGTAGGAGGAGGGAGGGGCCAAGGGGCCAGCAACCAGATAACCCAGGAGCTGGAAAAACTGCCTGTGGTTTGCTCGAGTGTTTGGGAGCTCAGTCATGGGTAAGGGGCTAATTAAACCATGGGTGGTTGTTACATGTGAAGCGTGCCAGGAAGTGCACTTCGCCTGGTGTTGCCCGTCGCTTTCCTTCCATCTGTGGGGCACACCCATGACTGAAAGCCCAGAATTGCTCTTTTACAAGTCTCTGTTTGACCAAACTTTCATCCAGCCCATTTCCAAAGGCCTCTAGCAATGAGGACTCGGTCGGACCGCCAACCTAGTCTAGGAGGGCGGCTCCAGGGCTTCGCTGCTCCTGGGCTAGGAAGTTTTCCCGGTCTTTGCGGTTGCGGCAGAAATCCTTTTGTCCCACCCGTGGTAGAAATGGAGAACAAGATTGTCCCCATGGAGCACCCCCTTGGGTGGCTTGAAGGAGAAAGCCGCACCGCCAGCAGGGTGGTGCCTTATGACCGGCTGGACATTGGGCTCCTCGAGGCCAGATTGTCAGTTCTGGCTGGCAGCAGCGCACCACGGTTTTGGCTTGGCGCCACATCCACGGGAGCCCTCGGGCTTCAGCGCTGCGCCTTCTGCACGTAAAGCAGGTCTTTGGGCTGGGATCCCTGCGCCTCTGGGACTGCTGACGTGCCGGGTGGGAAGGGGGAGAGGAGTCGTTTGGGAGGTCTGACCTCCTTCGGGAGGCGTCTCCGTTCCACCACCTGAGTGGTCTGGTCTGTGGCGGAATCGACGTCTCTGTGATTCCCACCTTTCCCTTCCCCACAGGGAGCCCTGGGGGGCCCAGCAGGCCTGCCACGCTGATATCGGCGGATCGAGCCAAGCAGATGTTTGGTCCTCCGGTGATTACGGTAAGGAGGCTGCGTGTGCCGTGCAGAAGTCACGGGCGAGCAAAGCATTTATTGTAATAGAGTCGGAGTATATGTGTTATTTCTGAAGCAGGTGAAACGTCCACTACTTTTTGTAGATTTATTAGTCTAAATCCCACTTGGAAAGCGCCAGGTGATCCAGACGAGGGGCATTCACATGGATAACTGGGAAACGCTGCTCAGTCTTTTCTGAGCCCCGAACATTGACTTCCCTCAACCACCCAGGTCTTGGACAGTACAGAAATTTAATAAGATCAGTGACTAATCCTTAGGAATGTGCTCTCTCTTTTCTTCCTGGTTTCTTGGCAAAGGCCGGCATTAGTAATGCCTTGAGGGAAGTTTCGGAGGGGGGGGTGCCCACAAGCTCCCTAAAAAACACATTTTCCTAGGAACTGGTTGTCCTAAACTCTCCTTCGTTGTTCTAGCCAGATTCCTTTTCATAGATTCTGTGGGGCCTCCTGTGGCTGTGGAAGGTTCCCTCTTGTGGGGAGAGTGCTCGACTCCCATGGGTGGCCCGAAGGGAAGCCCAGGCAGTGTTCAGCCAACACAGAGGCCCACCCGCAAGCGTCGCGGGTGGGCTGAACCTGGTGTGTTGCTGAGCCGTGGGTCGTTCTTGAAATGCGGCCAGTTCCGGTGTTGGCCGAGCCCAGCCGAGAGAGCAGAGTGTGGCGAACGACCCCATTCGAGAGCGGTGCACAGGTGCTCCTCCCGGGCCGTTGGCGGCTGAGAAGCCACTTTTAGCGCCGCTGGGCTCGCACGGCAGGCTCACCCGCCGTTCAGCGGCACCCCGCACCCAGCCCGTGTCGTCTGAACCCGGCCCCTGCTTTGGAAGGCAGAACCAAGGGGAGGCGGAGCGCACCTCGGGGCGCACAGGCAGCCGGTAACGCTGCGCGTCGCTTCCGTCCGCAGACGCGCCACTTTGCCACCCAGCAGGCCTTCCCCGCCGGCACCCCGGAGCACGGGCAGTACCAGGGCAGCCAGCCGGGACACAGCCCCTACGGGGTGGGCCAGGGCCAGCACACGGTGCCCGTCAGCTACGCCAGCAGCCCGTCGATCAGAGGTGACCGCGGCGGGCGGGCGGGCGGGCGGGCGGGCGGGCTTCTGGGGGCCCCGGGGGCCTGCAGGCTTGCCCCCCGGCTGCGCCGCGGGGAGGAGCAGGCAGCAAACGCAACAGGTGGCACCTCGCTTCCTCTCCCCGCAGGCCCGTCTGCCTTCCCCGCCATGCAATACCTGTCCCAGCAGCAGCCGCCTGGTTACGCCATTCACGGGCACTTCCCCACCGCCCAGCCAGGTAAGCCGAGGTGCCAGGTAGGGCTGGAGGGGCAGGGAGGCATGCGGGTCGGGGCGGCCTGGGTGCACCCAGGTGGGACTCTCGCTCTCCAGCGTCATCGCTGGCGCCGTCGTTTTCGGCGCCGGGTGAAGACCTTTTTATTTCAGCAATATTTTAAGAAGTTTTAATATTGTTTCCTATATGTTTTTAACTGCAGCCAGTGTGGGCCGGTAATTTATCTATGTTATATTTTATGTTATTTCATTTATGTAAGCCGTCCTGGGGCTTTCGCGACAGGACGGCATATAAATATTTTAAGTAAATAAATAAATACATCCCACCTCCAGGAATCTGGCCTGAATCCGCTTTCATCTTGACAGTGGAGGCCCAGTCTCTCCACATCCTCCCCCACCCCACTTGGGCTCTCAAGGCGTTGCTTCTGGGACCCCCAATATATGGGAGCAGGTTCAGGAAAGAGAAAGGGCGGGCCAGGCCTTCTGGGGGCCAGAGCCTCGGCTTTGCGAAGGAGAAAGCGGCGTCTCCGCAGAGGCCGGCCCTGCCTGGCAGGACCGTGCCAGGAGAGGCCTGCACAGCCGAGCAGAGGAGGCAGGCGGAGAGGGCTTGGAGCTTGCAGTCCTGCCCTCGGGATCTCGAGCGCCAGCTGCCCACGGCGGGATCTTCGGAGCCCTGCTCAGACGCTTTGGCTTTTCGCGTGGGCTGGACCCACACGTCCCTCCGCCCAGACCAAAGGGAGCCACGGCACGCTCTGAGCCCGTCTTTCCGCCCCTTTCCCAGGGTAACCACCCCGTGCCCTTCCACACCCGGTCGTAATTTCTTCTCCGTCGGCTGCTCTGGGATGTGCCGCGTGTGTTTCTCAGAAAGAGGGTGTGGGCGAAGGTCTCGGGCAGGATTTTTAGCTCGGCAGGGCAGTCAAGGACAGGGTGTTGGAGGATGCTTTGGGGGTTGCCATGGAGCCGGGCGGCAGCCTCCCCAGGTGTGTTACGGAGCAGAGCCCTTTGCTCGAGTGCCGCGAACAGCCCCCCCCCCCCCGCCTGCTCCTTGCCTTTTATTTTTTGCGCCAAGGTTGTTGTTCCATTGGCAGAACTCGCCTTAAATCAGGCTGAGACTTGCTTGGGAATCGACTCATGCGTTGAAAAGCGCTCGTTAGATCCCAGCCTGTCCGGCAGCTCCGCTTGGGAAACATCTCTTGGCCGCCTGGGGGGGGAATTGGGGCCCTGCAGAGCTTTCTGGGGAGACCGGCCAGCTCTGCCCGCTTCCTCGCAAGGCATGGGGCGCCCTCAGTGGGCGAGGGTGCGGCCCAGAATGCACCAGGCCGAGTTGGTGCAGGCGGGGGCAGGTTTGGCCTGAGACGGTGGGCCGGCCGGCCTTTGTCCGACACAACCGGAAGACGACGATCCTTGCACACGCCGCACGCGTGTCTTCGTCTGCCCGGGCTCGCTCTTCCTCCCGTGTCTGTCCAGGTTTCATCCCCCCAAGCACCACCATCCCCCTGCAGAAGCAACTGGAACATGCCAACCAGCAGTCCGGATTCACTGACTCGGTGAGTTCACGCCCAGCGGGTTTGCGTGTCCGGATTCTTTACACGCTGCCTTTGGCCCGCAAGGCTCGCCAGGGGCTTGCGGGGGAGTCCCAAGAACCGGCGTCTTTAATAGCCAGTCGCAAACCAAGCGGCTGAGGGAGAGCCCCTCAGGGCAGGGCTGCCGCGGTGTGTGGCGCCCCAGCCCTGGGGGCCGATGCAGGCGTGACTCAGCCCCCCGCCAGGATGCTGTCTGGACGCTGGCAGGCGGAGCGAGCGCCCCGGTGCGCAGAGGGCAGCTTGTGTGGCCCGCGGGCTGGCTCTCCACGGCGGCTCGCTTCTGCTAGCTGGGGCGGCCCATTCGCCACGCGGGCTGGGGAGGGTGGGCACTGCAGTCTGACGCAGCTGCAGCGAGCCAGGCTCGTGTTGCTGGATGTCCAGCCGGGGCTCGAGTGGGGAAACAGTCTGGCAGGCGAGGCCCGGGCCGGACGTGGCCTGAGCGCCTCGGAGCCAGCGCTGCGGCGTGTGATCCCTCTGTCCCCGTTCTCGTTCCTCCAGTCAACCCTCCGGCCGATGCACCCGCAGGCGCTGCATCCCACCCAGGGACTCCTGCAAGCTCCCCAAATTCCCGTCCAGATGCCGGCAGCCGCCAAGGTACGCGCCGCGTCGGCAGGGCCCACCCCCCACGCACTCTGCACACCTTCGGACGCCGCTGCACCCTGCCCAAACCGCAGCGCGCCTCCGCCCTCGCCGGGCTGTCGCAGCTCCCTGTACGTGGCACAGTCCTGCCTGGGTTCTGCAGCGGGGAAGGCTCATGCACGGCTGCTCCAGAGGCCGCTATGTGGCGCGTCGGCCGGTCTCCCTGCGTTTTTACTTATTTTCCCATTTCGGCAAGGGATGGGCTCACCTCTCTTTTCTCCCTCCCACCGCAGCCCAGTCTGGCTTACACCCACCCAGCACGGCCAGCTTCGCCAGGCAGCTTCTCGCATGGGAGTGCCCCACAGCAGCCCCACACGGTAAGTCTTGTCACGGGGTGGGTGGATGGCGGGACGAGCCCAGCACGGAATCCAAACCGGGGCTCAGCCTGGGCACGTGAAGGTCATTGCCAGAGCGGCAGAATGGAAAGAGCATTCTAGAAATGGAGCGTTAGAAATAGAAGTCTGTTTCTGGAATTTTTAAACAACAAGCTTCCGTGGAATATATCCCCCCAGAAAGGGACCACAGGTGGACTGCCTTCTCTTTATGAGACAGGGAGGGTGGAGTAAGCCAGAACAAAAGCCATGCCTGATGTTGCCCCGTAACCCCATTTGAACAGCATCCCCCGAATCCGGGGTGAGAGGGCGAAGCGCATGCGGGGCCGGTTGGTTTGCCAAACTCCGGCGGGGGGAGTTCTGCCGGCGGACCCGAGCGTTCCTCCTCGGCTCCGCCTAGTGCAAGTCCCAACGGCCCTTGCCCGGAGGTGGAGGAGGCGACCTCTTGGCACAGCAGTGCTTTCGTGTAGGCCAGAGCCGGCGCTGCCCTGTGCCCGGCGGGCTGCCAAGAACCCGTGCAGGGGGGCACCGGGCCGCCGTGCAAAATGGTGGCAGTGAGAATTGCTAGCGTTCTTTCCTTCAAGCTCTCTCTCTCTCTCTCGCAGTCTGGCTTCCAGGCGTCTCCCCAGACAGCACCCCGGCACCCCTTCATACAGCACCCGCAGGGGCAGCGCTTCTACCACAAGTGAGCCCGGGTTCCCTGGCCCGTCGCTGCCTCCGCTGCCCCGGTCGCAGCGTGAACAAGGAAGCCGCTCCGTGACTGTCGCTTTGTTCCTCCCTCGTTCTGCGCTGAAATGCTATTGCGAAAGCAGATTGCACTCCAAATATACCTGGCGGAATTCCTTTTGCGTGGTGTTCGTTTCGTGTGTGTCCTGGCGCCCGTCCGCAGCAGCTTGGCGTGACAGCGGAAGGGACAGCCGGGCCCGGGGGGGCTGGCCGGGCAGGCGGCATGCGAAGGGAGGGCAGCGCCCCCCCCACCCTCTGCTGCCGTGGTGTGTGATGTCCCTGCAGAACCAGCCGACATTTGCCTTGATCGCCCGGCAGGGCATTGGGCCCCTTTGGCCAGATGGGGCGCGCGGAGAACGAAATGGCCTGGGAAACGCAGCGAGTCCCTCGGGCGCTTGAGCCTCGAATGGGAGGAGAGACTGGGCTGGGCATTCGCTGAGTGGGACTTTCCCACGGGAGCCGAGGGCCCCGAGGTCCTTCCCGGTGGCGCGTCCTCTGCCCACACCGCTCTGAAGGGGGCTCTTCTGGCCTGCCCTTTTAGGTCAAGCAAACAGACCATACGGGGTCGGCCTGAAACGGGCAGCATGCAGGCCGAGCCGTTCTGTCGTGGCACTAACATTCGGGACAGGACGGGCCGTACGGAGAGGCTCTCGCCAGCCAAGGGTCAGCCGCACGCCTGGCTCTGTTTTAGGGAGGTCTGCATGGAACACGCTGCAGCCGGTTGCAGATGTGGGTCCAGCATGGAACCAACCACCCAGGAAGAAGTGGGGCAGCGGATCTGAACCCAAGGGCAAGCAGGCCTGGCTGCTCTGCAGGTTAGGGCTCCTCCTGCACGGGATGGAAGATCTCCCGGGCCCCACCGACGAGTGGTCCACCTTGGCACCCACCGCCCTGCCTGCCCCAGTCCAGCTGTTCTTGCCTGCAACGGAGCTGAGCCACGGGCAAAAATCTTGCAGCCTGACCGGTGCCTGCAGAGTTCAGGTTTTCATGCACACAAATGCATTGTCAAGTTTCCACGTCATTTCTGGCTCGGAAGTCCGTGGCTCCCACTGGGCATGCACCGTTTCTAAGCAAAATACGGAGGGCTTTGTACTGCAGAGGCCAATACCCGACTGCTCCTTGCTTGGTGTGGCCATCTTCAGCCTGAAATACGCGTCCGGTGGCAAAAGCGGGCAGAGGCTGAAGACCTGGTGCCCCCCCAGCCGTGGCCCCTCTGGCTGCGTGGCCCTGGCAGGCTTCCAGGGGACTGAAGCCGCCGCGCTTGACGTTCACTTACCCTAAATTCCCCGCCCTATCTAAATGATGCAGCCGGAGACGGGTTTTCATATTAAACTTGTTTTATTGAGGTTGATTAACAAATGTGTTGGATTAACAGGGGAGGGAGGCCACAGCGCTGACCTGTGAACAGCAGAGGAGAGTAAATATGAACCAAGGAGACAGGTGGGGCGCTAGCTGGTCACCCCAGGAGATCCCTACCTGGAACAGCCTTTGGGTGGAGATACAGGTACCCAGCAGGAGGGGAGGGAGTCGTGCGAGGGTTGCTAGCTCCGGGGGGGGGGGGCTCCGGGGCAGCCGCAGCTCTGTGCGGGGCAGGGCCGGACATGACTGCCGGGGCCCGGGTGGCGCCAGGGCAGAGGGCAACGCGTGTTCTGACCAGACGGCCACGAGCGGTCGGCTCCCGCTGTGAAGAGTGCACTATGCTCCATGCCTGGCGGGGGCCTCCCCCGCGCTCCCAGATGGGGGGGCCCTCGTGCTCGAGGGGGGATCGGGGGGGGGGCTTAAGCCAGTTCAGCAACCAGAGCAGCGATCCCAGAAAGAAATGTGTAATGGGTAGCCTCCAAGCACGGGGAAGGGGGCCATTGGAGAGAAGGGACTGAATTGCAGCAACCACCAATGGGGGGGGAGCATCTGACAGTGAAAAAGCCCCCCCCACCAACCCTCAACAGAAATGCTCACAAGAACACACACATTTGTTTGGGCTAAGAGTGCGACTTCTCGGTTCGCAACAGTTATTTTGCTCAGTTTGCTGTTCCTGAAAAGGGACAGCCCCCCCCCCAACACCACCACCTCTCAATAGACGCATTAAAACTAAAAAAAAAATTAACACGAGTCTTTTGCAATGTTTTGCCTCCTTCTAGCAGTTTAAATATTTTCCTTTAAGTGCAAATTCTCAACTTCTCTTGCCAGAAAACAGCTGTAGTGTTACTGGCACCCGAGAGAGGGAGGGGACTGGAAAGCTGCGGAAGGGGCCAAACAAGAAAATAATGAGGGTACATCAGCATCCAGCTTTTTTTCTTTAAAAAGACCACGAAATAAAAAGTTTCTTTTCTTTTGTTTAATTCAAAAGGGTGGGGTGGGAGGATTTTGCTTTTTTAAAGGAAGGGGAAGAGAAAAAAAAAGATTTGGGTGGTTTGGAGCCAAATCTGACAGTCTGCGGGTTGCGCTCCTCTCTGGTTCACAACAGGTTGGAGCTGCTGCCGCCGCCGCCGCCGCCGCTGCCGCCTGAGGAAAGGAGGGGAGGAGAGAAGGGGGCTGAAGGGGCAGCTCCACTCAAGGGGCGGCAGCAGGACCTGCCCCTCTCCCACAGCTGCTCGGCTCCAGGCCCTCCGGGACTCACCTGTGGCTCCCTTATTTAGCCATAGCCTTGATAGCAACAGCCGCTTCCTCCGTCATCGCAGACAGTACGGTGATCTGCGGAGAGAGCCGGCGGCAAGGTCAGGGGCCACCGCGTGCAGCGCCAGCTCTCCCCCGAGACCCCCAGAGGCGGTGCCGGCCGGCCGGCCAGCCTTCAGGATCACCTCTCCGACCCAGCTCCTGCCCACGCGTGCCAGGGACGGTCCCGGCCATCGGGGCCAGAGCCGCTCTCCCGAGGAAGCGCAGGCGCCAAAGGAGCGGCAGAGCGGAGGGCACGCGGAAACGGGGCTGGCTGCTTTGCCGGGTGGCTTTCGCACCACGTTACTTTTGCCGTTTTAAATTTGCCTTTTAATTATTTCTGGCCACCTCTGGCATTACTGAATGGATGGAGTGCGGCAGCATCACACGTGTAATCCGAGAGAGGCGCACGGCTCCTACCAGGATTTCCTCGCCACAGTCGTATTTCTGTTCAATCTCCTTGCCCAGGTCTCCCTCAGGAAGGCGCAGATCCTCCCGGACTTCCCCACTGTCCTGAAGCAGGGAAAGGTACCCATCCTGGATCCCAATAAGCTGTAAAAACATTGGGGGAGGGGGAGGAGGAGAACCGTAACCTTGGGGCCGGCCCGCCGGCCCACCCCCTCCCCTGAGTGGCGACCTCCTGCCCCGTGCCGGCCAGGAATTGGCGTGGCGGTCGCACACGGCACTTAGCATTGGCCTGCAAAGGCCGCCGGAAGTGGCTCCCCCCGGGGCTGCATCAGCCCCCGCTTCAAGGGCGGCGAGGTCGCTGTGCTCTGTCCGGAGAAGTGGGGCGTGGCAGCTGGGGAGGCCATGCTCCAGGCGGCTCTCGTGCTCCCCGGGCCCCCTTCACATGCCAGGCCCTGATTCGGAAGGGCACATCCACCAGCGCACGGCCGCCCTCGCAGACCCCTCCGCTGCACGGAAATATTCTCATGCAAAGTACCCAGAGCCCGTCAGTCACACGAGGAAGCCAAGCCCTGCTTGCACAGGGGGCGGCGTGGGTGCAAACCGGCCTCACACCCACACAAACACCCTGCGTGAGCCGGGCTCTGGACAGAGAGAAAAGGGGCCAGAGCCCACGGAGCCGGGCCAGGGAAATCTGGCAGGTTCCCACTCTCACCCTCCGTATGCCAGCCTCTCTCCCATGGCACCCAGGTTTCAACACGGCGGATCTGGCGTACAGCAACCACTAGCCACCACCAGCCTTGCCGCCTGGGGGGACGTCCCCCCCAAAGGAGATGCCCATCTGGGCAAGCCGGGTGGGGAGCACTGGCTGGAAGGGCATCTCTGGAAGGAGGCGGGCCCGTCTGGTTTGCCACCACCCCGGTGCCTGCAACGCTGCAGCTGCCCCAAGCCGGGGGGGCCGGGCCCCGGAGGAGCCACGCGGGCCACGGGTGCTGTGGCCCACGGAGGTGGAAGCACACGCCTCCTCGCACGACGTCACTGGAAAGCCGCACTGCGCGTCCCACCTCTAGGGTGCTCTTGCCTGAAAACGGGGGCCGCCCCAGCGCCATCCACCTACCTGGAAGTCATTTCTCTTAATGTTGGGCACATCCATATTGTGGGTTGAAGGACAGATATCTTCATATTTTTTCCCAGTGAAGATGTCTATGCCAACAAGATGCACCTAAGGGGGGCGGGCAGAGGGCGGAAGGGACGCGTGAGTGACGTGGCCAGCCGTGTGCACACAAACACGTGCCCCGAAGCCCTGAGGCACCCCAGCGAGGGAGGGCAGGAAGAGGAGCGCGCCCGGAGGCACCGCCTCCCTGTCCACCCGGCGGTGGGGGAGCAATTGCGGCACGGAGGGACACTTGTTGGTCACCGAGCCCAGGTGGCTTCAGGTGCCCTCGGCCAGACCACGCGCCTGCTACCGGCCCCAGCGCCCCGGCACCGCTTTATCAGCCGCCTCTGCCTCGTGCGCCTCGTGCCTTGCACGCCCGTCTCCTGGCTAAGCTGCCCGCTCCCTCGGCCGGTCCCCACCCGCCTCTCTCCTGGCTTCTCCCTGCCCTCCGAACGCCTTTCCGCAACACGACACCCTGCTGAACCCAAAGTGATACCAATGCCCACCAACTCTCAGGTCTGCATTTCTGCTTCGGCAGGTAAGCCGAGAGACTTGCAGAAATCCCAGAGCTGTTTCTGAGCCCGAACTCTTCCTGTGGCTATGCGAAAAAGCCTCCCTGATTAAGAATTTCGTTTAAAGTAGGCATGGCTCTCGGGGGGGGGGGCACAAAAATACATTTTTGTCTGCATCTGGACACCTTCTTGCCCTCTTTCCCAGCACTGGCTGCCAGCCCACGTTAGGTAGGAAGCCTCCCAGACCAACGGGCTCAAGGGCCGCAATGGTTCAACGTGTTCACGAGAAATTCCCCACCCAACCTCCCTGCAAGCTGCTAAGAGAAGCAAACTGCCCAGGTCTTTTGCAATGTCTCTTGTCCCAACTCTGGGCTGCGAAGAGACCATAGAAGAAAGAGAAGCCGGTATGCCGTAGAGGGCGGGGGGTGGAAGGATACAGAGGTGGCAGCAGCGGAATGAGGAAAGCCACCAGAAGAGATCAGAACAGGAGTGGGAAAATAAACTTCCCCTCACAGAGCTTAAATTGAGGTATTTTGTCCTGCACATTGTTTCAAATGGATCAGCACAAATGGACGCATAGAAAAAGGGGTGGGGTGCTCCTGCGCCCGACCCCGGGGGCACGATTCCTCTGTCCCACCACCCTGCCTGACTCTCCTCTCAGCAGCTTGCCAGCCCTGGCCGGCCTTCGCAGGGGCTTTCTAGGGACTGTCCATCTGAGGGCTTCTTTGCAAGGCAGGCAAGCCTGCAGCCAAAAAGAAACTGCATTCGAAACTGTCACTGCTTCATTAAGTCTGGGGCATTTCGCGCTCTTCTCTCTGGGAGATGTCAGAAACAGCCTCTCGGTGTGAACGAGGAAATGCACCATCCAGACAGTGTGTCCTTTCTCCTCTCCCTCCTCCCTTTCTAGTTGGACCGGTCAAATGTGTGAGCGTGCAAAGTCACGCAACCAGCGGCTGTCGCAAGTGGCACTCCCACCCCAATGCCTATTACGCACGCACGCGGCATTTTAGAAGCGGTGTGTTTTCCTAACCTAGTCTCAGCAACGTGGCTTTCCTTCTGTACCTAATATTTTATCATATTCTGAGCATATGGCTAAGTTTGTTAGTTTTCGGTTGTTGACTTGACTGTGATAGGATTATGATGATTTGATTGCCTAGAAAGTATTTAAGATATTGCATAAATTCAATAAACATCAATGGGTCGGGGGTGGGGTCCTCCCTCCCTTTTTCTGGGTACTGGCAAATCTCGGGGGTTGTCCTGTGTGTGCTGACAGCTCCTTTAGCCACAGCTCCTTGAGCGTGGCAAGATGCGAGTCAGGAAGGCGGGCATACGGTCACAGTCAAGGAGGAGCACACGCTGTGGGAGAACGGAGAGGGGCTCCTGGGGGCCCCCCATCTATCGTGACCTCCAGCATCACCGCAGCTCTCAGAGGAGGCGGCTCACCAGGCGGGGAGAGGAGCTGAAGTTGCCAGTTCTGCTGGCCACAGTCCTCTGGCCCAGGACGGACTTGCTCTCCCCCCACTGAAGAGGCTGTGTGGGGCAGCCATCAGAACGCCCCACAGAGGGAAAGGCTCAATCCCCCTGCCCGCCATGAAGCAGCCGGTTTAACAACTAGGCTCACACGCTCAAGCAAGGGGGGCAAGCCGGGGGCCTCTTTTCCACATGCCAATGGGGCGCCACCTCGTTGCCAGAATTGCTTGAGCCGCACATGAGCCCCCGTGTCACCCAAGCCCCGAGAGAGTGAGCAGCGGGGGCAGTTTTCAGACGATCCCTGAGCCCTAGGACATGCCGTGGGTTCTGCGGTGCCCAGGAAGCCCCCTGCCTGCCCCACCTCACGGGCCGAGACGTGGCGAGCACCCACGGCACGAGTCCCGATGCGTGCATGCGCCACCACGTGGACCCAACCCATCCGTGCGCACTGGAGAGCGACCGTCCATTTCACCGGGCACGTGACGCAGGGGAATGCCCACACGGGCCGCAGTGGGCTGGAGGACGCGCGAGGCAAGGCATCCAGCAGCCACGCTCACCATCTCCACGCAGCGCGGAACAGGCTCACGCCGCCAGCGGCTGCCCCATCGAGGCTCCGGGCGCGACCCTCCCACCCGCTGCGGGCTGCGCGCACTTACTTTGGCATGACCGTGCTTGCCGGTCTTGGAGGTGGACATCTCCACAATCTTGCAGGGACGCCCTTTGAGCACCACAAAGCCGTTCTTGCGGAGAGCGGAGCACTGCATGGGGAAAGTGGCGGAGGCGCCGGCATCGCCGGTCTCGAAGTCTAGGTCATCAGCCATGGTGGATCAGATGTTATGAAAACTGCCAGGGGGGAGAGAGAAGAATCTCAGCGCTTGGGCTTCAACTGAGCTGGCTCAAGTTCCCCGCGTTCTCTTTAGTCACAAGACGACAGCAGTAGGGAAAACGCTGATTGCAGCAGACACATGGGTGGCACGGAACATGGACTCTGGTGTGCTACATGCCATCCCGACAACCCCGCCCCTTCTTGAACAAAGTTACGTTTCTATGCACGCTGGCTGTGAAGTGCGCGTCAAAGCCATGGCTGCACGAAAAGAGAAAGCTGACCAACGTGGAGCTCAGGAAGCTTACACGGTAAGACCTTCCATGCTAAGAGTTTTCAGGAGGTGTTTATGCCTGCAGTCATGAAAATACCCAGTGGCAATGAGTTCCACAGGTTAATCAGGAACGGCCAGAAGTCTCCTGTAGTGCCAGGCTTGGCCACAGGGCTCCATGCTTAAGGCTTAAGTGAGGTGAGGGAGAACACCTGCACAGACTGCCAGGTCAACACACGTGCCCAGCATATTGCAGCTGGAGAAACAAATGAGCATGGGCAACAGGTCAGAAGAATCCAGAAATGCAGTAGGTGGGCTTTGCATAGCAAGTTGTACTCCACCAAGACCTAAAGCTTGTCCTGTATATCAACCCAAGAGAAGGAAAACACAGCAGCAGCAGCAGCTGGACTAATGCACAATATTCTCACGTGGTGCGGAAGTGGCACTTAAACATCTTTAACACGTGCTCTGGAAAACCACATTTTGCCCTAGCACTGACTGCTCAAAACAGAGTGGACGTTCACCAGTGACGACGACTCGTAACGATTTACTCCAAGACTACAGCCCACGCGCCTTTACCACCCGCTTTACCGAAGCCCTTTGCAAGGCTGCCTCTCGCCCTTGCCCTGCGCAGTCACCCAGCCAGCCTGACTCCTGCTCTGTGCCCGACAGGTGAGCTGCATCACGGACAATTCCCCAAGAGTCAAAGGTGGCAAAGGTGGAGGATCTGAAGCCATGAAAGAAGTCTCAAATGTCAAAGAGATGCAAGCAAGCACATGCTAGGAGCTGACATGCACAGGCCATAGGGGAATTTCCCCCAAAATATATTTTGTCCCCAGATGTAGAATTTGAAATCTCGCAATGCAACTGTACTTGGGGGTGGGGGGAGAAGAAACACAAGCCTGTTTCTGCTTTTATCCTCTCGACAGAAAACTCTGGCACAAACAGCCTCGCACCACAAGGACCCTGCTATTTTGGAACTGACCCGCCATTTAAAAACAGCTACTCAGGCCCTGAGCATCTAAATCAGTAGCAGGGTTCAAGCACAAAACTCTCCATCAGGCTTAAAAGGTCTTGAGAATGTTCTCCGAGGGAAGTGCAGTTGCCACGCTTCGTGCCCAGCAGACGCTGCGTAACTCTCACGCAGGAAAACGCTGGCTTAGCGCCTGCACTTCAGGAAGACCGGCACACGGTGTGCGCACACGGGGGCCCGTTCGACCGGCGTGGCTTGCACTCCGAGAACGCCTCTCTGCGGGCAGCGGGAGCACTGACAAAGGCCGGGCCCCATCTTGTGCAGGCAGCACGTGGCTCCCAGGTTGTCCGGCATCCTTCCCATCTTACATCAGAGCTGGAAAAACGAGATTGGATTCCGGAGGAGGTGCTGCGGGCTCACCCTAGCGTTAAGACAGAGCGGAGACAGCGCGCCTCAGCCGGCCGCTGGGGCACGGGCCCTGCCTGCCTGCCTGCCTGCCGGCCGCTCCAGGCCACGAGGAGGGGATGGCTCATTCGCCCTCCCCGCGGATCGGCTGGGCCCCCCCGCCCCACCTCCTCCAAAGGCAACTCTCAACCTGCATGCGCTCGGATACTTGATGACAGCAACTGCTAACGGCAATAGCTCATGCGGGTGACAGCCGGCGGCGGCAGCAGCCACATCGCCCTCGGGAGCCCGGGAGCACCCCCACCACGTGCTTCCGATTTCGCCTGCGACTGAGGAGCGGGGGGGGCTGCGGGTGAGGCAGGAAGTTTGAGCCCACTTGGGGCGCGGGCGGCAGCCTCTGTGCCACATGTTCGAGGGAGACTCCCTCTTCTCCTGCCAGCACCGAGCATGATTCAGCTAAGCCGCCACTGCAGAGAACCAGGCTCAACCATGTGGCCGAGGGAAGGCGGGGGGGGGGGGCTCAGAAATATTCGGGAGGGAATTTCCGCTTTACACTCAAGTGGGGAGCGCTGCCCCATCCCCGAGCCGCTTCGAAAGCGCCTGCGCAGAACCGTCTCAGGTGCGGCGCACAAACTGCCCCCGGGAGAAAGTGCGCTCCCCCAGCGACTGAATCGCCCCCTTCTCCATCCACGCAGACCCCGCCGACGAATCGCGAGCACTTTCTCGCTTCCTCGCGCATGGTGCCCAGTCCCGACACCCGGAGGCAGCCCGCTCCAGAAGCAGCCCCCGCAGCCAGCCAGCCAAGCGCCCGGCCCAGTGCACAGCCAGCCTGGGGTCTCCATTACGCAACGAGCGCCTGGCCGCCACCGCCGTGGTCATCCCGGCCTGAGCCAGAGGCCAGGGGCAGAGGGGGAGGAAGGGCTGCTGCCGAGCGAGCGGGATCCTCCATCGGGGAGAGCACGACTCCTCGCAAGAGACGGCCCACACGCCCTCAGCTCGCCCTGATCCTCCCTTTGGGGCTCACCGTACCCACGGTGGTTAAGGTCGACGCTCTCGCATTCCAGACAACCTTGCCTTCCTTACAGGGGCCTCTGGCTCCTTCTGCTCCAAGTCAAGCTGAAACCCGGCCCGTGTCCCGGGAGACTGACCTGCACCCCCCAGTGGAAGAGGGGGACCCCACCAACATCCACAAAAGTGCGTGCAGCAAGCTGGACCACGCGGCACCCACTCGCCTTATGCAGGAAAGGGAATCCTGCCTGCGCTGCCCAGCACTTAAGCCACTGCACTGGCACACAGGGAACGGCAGTCTGAGGCATGAATACACAATAGCTACACCTTCACACGGTAAGCCATCTTTTCACGTGCCTTGAGCAACCGCTTGGGAGCCCCCGTGTCAAGTCAAGCCACCTCCTACCCTGCACCCTGCGCGCAGAGAGAAACAAGCCCACCCAGCAGCCGCTCCTCCTCCTCGCCAGGCCACTGGAAGCCCCCCCACCTCCCCCCCCACCCGCTCCCCCCCCTGTGCACAAGTTCCTGCCGTGCCCCCCCCCCCCAGCCCAGCACCAAGACGCCTTTTCACTCACACCTCCTTCCTCAAAGGCAAGCCACAGACTCCAAGCACATCCAAAGCAACATGGGAAGTGAAGTCCTAACCATCTGGAGTCCCGGATTGGGAAGGCTGCCCCAACCCCTTTTCGCACCTAGTGGCCTACTCACTGCCAGGGCACACCGTCGCCTGCCTTGGCTCCCGTCCCCCAAAGTAAACCCTCACAAAAGCCCCAGCACTAAATAAAGGCCCACAAAACCACACGGCAAAGAAGCCCCGCTGCCATCCTCCCTCCGCACACGACGCTTCCCAGAGGACAGAGAAAATGAATGCGTTCGCTCCTGATCCAGCCCGTTCAGACAACACCAGAGCCCCTACGTTCACAAAGGCAAGCTGGCAACCCGAACCAAGAACCCCCGCAGTCCTCCCTGGAGGAACCCAACCCCGCCAGACTGGACTCCCCCGGACTCGCACCCCCCGGACAGCATCGCAAGGGGGGCCCCGGCTGCAGCTTCCCTCGTGCCACACCTATGCACAAGTTTCCCGTCCGTTCGGCCTGGCACAAGCCGCACACATCCCCCCGCCCGCCTGCCCGGCCTCAGCCCCACATTTTCCCCATACACGGGGCCCTCCATTGCTGCAGCCACAAAAGCTGCCCGGCCCTTCTGGCGGCGGTCCCGTCACGGCGCGCAGGGCAGTCGCTGGGCAGCCTCTCCTCCCCGTGCGCTCCGGGCTGCAGTTCCCACGGCTCCCGGGCAGGAGGGCGGCCGCAGGCCCGAGCACCCGGGGGGCATCAGGCCGGGAAGACCGGGAGCAAGGGGCAGGCCTGCCAGGCCCTCCCGCATGTTTCCAAAGTGTAGGACTGAAGCCAAAGGCAGCTCAGCCCCGGCCACCGGCCTCCCTTCCAGCGCGGGGGGGCGCAAAAAGTTTTCTGCACTCCGAACCAACTGGGAAGCCCCCCCCCCGCGCCCGGCAGAACGGGCCCCTCCCCCTCCCCCCGGGGCGAGCCCAGAAACCGGCCCACGCCCCTCCCTCGCGGCAGCCCACCGCGGCCCGTGCCCCTGGGGAGGCCCCCGCTCCACCGTGCAGCCGCCTCGTCATCCCGGCCGGCGGGCGGGCGGCTTATCCGCCGCACGAGATCCGCGCGCCGTCGCCCCCGTTACACCGCCCCAGGCAGCCACCCCCCGCCGGGCCAGGCCAGACCAGGCCAGGCCGCGGCCCCACGGCCGCCCCCGCCAGCCGGGAAGCTGCCCCCCTCGGCCCAGGCCGCCGCCGCGGCCTCTCCCGCCCCGCCGCGTCCCAGCACGCGAGCGCCGCCGCCGCTCGTCACCCACGGCGAGGCG